CAGTTTTGCGAAGACCACTATCCTGTAATTTTGGTGAATTAACAAATTATTAAAAATTGAGGTCAGATCATAGCTAGAGGAAATTAAATTAATGTTACATATTACCTCTGCTGAACAGTTTAGCCAGCTCTGGATTATTCCACAAATTTCTGGTTGGTTAGTGGATTCATATGCTAAGATTATTGGATGGTGTACAACAGACACCATATTTTTCCCCACAACATCCAAAATTTGTTTGGATATCAACAAACAAACAGCCCAAATGACACTTTCCTGAAAGAGCCAAACAAAATCCAACAGAAACTATGGCTATAAAGATAGAGACCACATGAGTCCAGACCTTCAGTCACATGCTCCAAAGAGACTGCATTTCAGACTAAAATGAATACAAAGGGTTTATAAGAAAGAAATGTGTTGCTATGTTAAAAAATAAGCGGTGTGCAAAATTACTACCCTTCCAAGAAAGGGTCATGAAAAATGTTGTCGTTACTGAGAAAAAAAATACTACTGGCATTATGATGGCTCTACAATTTCCAATGTATCAGAGGCAGATGCTATGCTATGACAATGCCACATTGCCAACATTATGACTTTTCCCTATCATTCTACTACCTGAGTGATGTCAGTGTAAATTCAGGCACCATTAGTAAATTTTTGACCAAACGTATTCACAGCACTGACAAAGGAGTAAACAACCTTTCAGCTCACCAGCGTATGTAAAAAAAAAGACACTGACAAAATGGAAAATAATACATTTTTATGATAAATTAATCCTCTTATTTCTGCATTGACCTGAAAAAGCCACAAACTAGACATTATGTACCATCATTCCCTTTTTAGGATTCCTTTTTCTATAATCCATCACTATTTACTTCATATGTAAGAAAAGAGTGAACCTAAGCAGTCAGGGAAGGATCCTGACAGTCCTCAATGCCTATGTCCCTTACTTTCTCTCTCCCTGCGCTTTAACTCCTCTTTGTAGCAGTATGAACAATAATTTTCCGTTTCAGGACGACCATAAAAGGAACAGTTCTCCTTCTTGCAGCGGTTCTGCTGCATGGAATAAATAGGGCAAACTGTGCTTCTGCCTCGATTTTTATCATTGTTCAACCAGGTCTGAGGTGCCTCCTCATCAGCATATTCTAAGCAGTCTCTAATATCACCGGTATTAAACCCATTTGTATATGTCTGCGACTTATGTTCAGTAGGCATAGTGTAGCTCAGCGATTCCACTGTGTTCACGGTGCGGATACCTGCTATCCGGGCTGGGCTATAGCTCTGTGAAGACAGTGATCTATTCTGTTGGGGATAAGTGGCACAGGTTTTTAAGGTGCCAACCACTGGCTTATAGGTATCATCTTGGAAGCTTGATGGCTTGGAGTTGACATCATGCAAATGGATAACGCTTTGCCTTTGAACAGGTGGAGTATGGCTATAGTGGGCAGATACTGGAATGGGTCCACTTTTCTTAGCACCATTACTAGGTGAAGAAAATGACCCAGGAGTGGGACTAGTGCGATCTTTAAACTTTAAAACCAGTTGAGTTGTATGGCTTTGAGGCAAGACTGGTGATGCCCTGTCCTGAGGTGATGTTTCCAACTTTTCTTTTGAATATGCTTCTTGTTCCAGCTTCCTGCTGGATGACCCATTGAGTGAAGCCTTTTTCTCAGCCTCCTTTCTCTTCTGTTCCTGCTCTGCATTGAAGCGCTCTTGGGCACTGGTCAAGTAGTAACCTATCATCTCCTCGTGGAACTGATGTCTATGGCTGGTCAGTAGGAGGCCAGCAAAAATAAACTTGCGTTCACCTTGCATGGCAGCTCTCAAAATGTTGAGGCTGAGCTTCACGTCAGTGCTGTACTTCCATGGGTCAGACTGTTTGTCAGAGAGGGACTTCGAGTTCATTTTTTCAATGGGTGAGTTGCTTGCTTTGTCAGTAGGAGACGGAGTTGTCTTTTCAGATGGAGAAGTGCTTGCAGACTGTCCTGACTCCTCCTTGCTCCCTTTGCGGGACTTAGACTTCTTCTCTTTGACTCTGTCTATGATGTCACCATTCTTCCCGTTTCCTGAATTTGCTCTGCTCATCTTGCCATGCACCAGCCCCCCGAGCCCACCCATATTCTTTTTCAGCTTAATTCCTAGGGTTTTACTGAGGCTTCCAAGCTTATTGGCAACTGAATCTGTCCTATTTTTGTCTTTATCCTTCCTTTGTTTCTCCTTTTCTTTTTCTTTACCATTTTTGCCGTTATTGCCATTGGAATTACTACAGATGGAGTCTCGGTCTGAGTCCATTGAATCAGCCAGAGACTGAACATCTTCCCCTGCTGAAGCAGTTGGAGATTCAGGCTGAGCCAAAGGGGCCTGTTGAAGGAAGGTAATTAAAATTAGATACAATTAAATGATTTTGCATATGGAATAGCTTAACAACAGCAGCAGCAGCAACACCACCTCTGCTTTGATTTTTTTCTTTAGACTGGCAAAATCACTGCTTTTATTTTTGTAAATTTAATTAACCTTTTCATTGTATAGGCCCAACACAGTTCACACTAGTCTTCTGCCTCCCCTGAACAGATGTTGCCAGTCATATTTAACTGTGGGACTCCACTGATGACAGACACCATATATACTAGAAACTCAGCTGAGACCACAAGCTCATTTCATTTGTAACCCCAGGAATAAAAATAAACTTCCAGAGTTAAAAAGAAACCAGTCTAACCTGTCTGTACAAACTTTGAAAAAGGGTTCACTTGGTCGATCATTTGCTAAGAGATGCGAGTGTCATAAGTGCCCTTTGCACTCAAAGACTACAGTGGGTATTGAGCATCAAGCCTCACACATCCACCAACATAAACACAAAATATTTAATGAGAATTGCTGAGTAAAATTCACTCCTGTGCAGCGAACTGGAACGGGGCTTATACATCAATTCAGTACTCTAATTAAAGCTTGTGATGAGCTTCTGCACAGGGATGGAATTGAGAGAGGAAGAGCTGCACCTCTACTGGGGAATTACTATGTGCAGCTTGCTTACCCACTCAAAATCAACTCATCAATAGCTAGTTTTTCATGACCTTGGCTGTTCAGAATGGTGCAACTGAAATGTAGTTACACTCTCAGTTGAGTGATTTAGTATATTATAGCTTGCTGGCTCTCCTTTTCTGATATAAATAACAGATGCTCATATAAACAACAGAAACAGCCGCAGAACTTTTGAGTTATATATGTACATGCTTATCCTTTATATTACTGAAACACTAAATATTGGAAGCAAGAAATAGTATGATTTAACTTTTATTTCATCAAGCAATACAGCAGGGGTGGCGCTGGGGGGAGGATTTTGGGGGGGGGGCTATAGCCACTCCAAAATTCACCTTAGCACCCCCATATCCACCCCTCCCAGTGCTGCCCCTGTCAAAGCCCCCTGCCTCCCCACTGGGCTGCTGCCACTCGCCCTGCACAGCTGAGCCTGCCCCGCTCCTGCCCACAGAGGCAGGGTGCCTTAAGTGGTTATTGTTAAAAAAAAAAAATAAGTATGTTAGCTGGAAGATGTATAGTGCAGCCCTCCCCCACAATTTTCTGTCTAGTCCACTTCAGCCCCCGCAGCAGGAAGAGGCTGGTGCCGCCCCTACACTAGAAGTAAAACTTTGCTGACTTTGAAATCAGTAGGATATTTGCCACAGATTTCTGTGCACCCAGGATTTCTCTTTAGGAGTTTGCTTCATTGCAAAGTTCAACCAAGTTCATAACCATTTCACAAAACAACGTCCATCCTTCGCTGTCAAGGAATGAAAAATCATTGAAAGTTTTTCAGCCCCAGCAATGCTAATGGCACTGCAGACAGGTTAACACAGTGGGAAAACAAAGGCAAATCTGTTATGAGGGAGGAAATCTCAAAGTAAGTAGACAGACTGCAGGTGGGACTATGGGGATCTGTCACTGCATCGGGTTGTCAGAGACTGTGGGGTATTAATTGGACATGGTAGATGAAAGAGATAAGAGAAAGAGACTTGTTTGCAGTGGGAACCATCAGGGGATGCTTGGACCAATGAAGAGAACTGAGAAGTAAAGAAATTTGAGGTCTGAGGAGACATAACATCATGGACAGGAAAAGGAAGGATCAGAGTCCAAGGGCAAAAGTCATGCCTTGGCCAGCTTGCATT